AGGTTGTAACAAAGTTTCTCAACTTTTGTGAGCGATGCTTCCATTATTTCGACCTTGTGGCGTAAGCAAGATTAAATTGTTGTTTCGCAAACTTGAAATGACAAAACATACCTTATGTCGTAAATCCTTTTCCTCAAAAGGAGAAAGGCCTTTGCATGACGTTAGAATATGCATGAAATGAGCATGCATCTCACTCATAAAATTCATGACAGTTGTTGGAATTTCTTCGATCATGAAATGATTGGTCGCAAATCGCATCAGTTCTCCTGTAAGATCGGCAATACCCAATAAATAATCAAGCTTACTAACGGGAAATCTCATCTCCTGTTCTATATTTCCACAGGTTGCAAGCGTGCCATCTTTGATATAATAATAAAAACTGATCCCTTCTATGAATTCTTGCAATCCAAAAGAATATGAACGTGCATACTTCCAAAAGTATTCATTAAATTTCTCTTCGAGTTCCTTTAAAATTGGAGAAAGGTATTCAGTAGAAATAAAATCAATTTTTTCTTTTGCTTCCTTTAGTACATCCTCCTTGTTATTCAATTTTGGATCATATCTATGAAGTAAAAACACAATTCTTTTTGCTTCTATTGTTACATCTCTGGCAGCTTTGTAAATTCTTTCCTTCTTATTGTTTGAGTAATCTAATTCAGTTGCATACTCATCAAATAATTTTTCAACAGCATGTTTGTACTGTCTTGGCTTTTCGGAGTGTTAGAAGAATAATTTTCACCACCACTACCACCTCGATTACCACCTCGGCCTCCTCTATAATTTCCTCCACCACGATAACCTCCTCTACCACCGCCTCGATTGTATCCACCTCCTATTGATGGTGATGATTGATCGGAAGCAATCGATGATTGATCATCTTCCATGCTTGCCATTGGATTATTGAAAGATTCGGATGGATCCGAGGGAGTGGTGGCTTGATCTTCACCAAAGGTTCGTTTCATTTTTAAATAATTATTAAATGAATCATTCCATGTCAAACAACATAAATCCATGGTTGAAATACAATGAATTGAATTTTCAAGAGCTCTCTTCTTTTGTTTCACAAAATGTTCAAAGAAGCATTCAAATAAGAAGGATGAGAGTTTTCCATATTCATCAAAATATCTTTTATCATCATTACAAAAAATGAAACATTTCAACAACACGAGAACCTTCTCACTTTCTCCTCTTCTTTTATTGTTGCAAGCCCCTTCGAAGGTGTTTGTGGAACAAGTGTTTGTGAGAGTATATCAAACTAGATTTGACGGTTTCAATAGAGATTTTGTTGAATCAGTGGCGGAGCAATTGCAACAAAATCAACAACCTAATTACCAAGTGGCGATTGAACAATTATTATCGGCTGTTTTATTTGTGATTCAGTATTGTGTATATCATCAACTGAATACTCCCGAACAAATACTGTCATCGGAACTATTTACGGATAATGATCCTGCTTTTACATCGCATGATAAATTGAAACAACTTGTTGCTGGAACAGTGTTAAAATTCCATAGCGTTTGGAAAGAGCAAGCATTGAACACACAAATTGGATTACCCAAATTAGTGGATATGAAATGGAGGGTGGATTTGAGTACTGCATCAAATCTTATTCAAAAGATGGCAGCGCCAAGTGTGGTTATTCAACTCAACGTGCAAAACCCAGCAGTATCGACTGGCGTCATGCCAAAAACGGAGCAAATTAATTTTGAAATGGACAAGGAAACTCTCTCTACCATGTTGAAAGGTCTTTCAAAGATTAGAGATCAACTTGCTTCCATCAAATAATTACCCAATTTAAAATGTCAATAATACATGTAAATTAGTTGATATCTTTAATCTATCCTGATTTTAGTGTGAATGTATTACAATACTTGTAATTAATGCTTATTTCAAACAATCCAAACTCTTGAGAACCCATCGTTTTTCACCTTCCAATACAAAGTATTTTGGAGTCCATGTAATACCAGCTTCAGCTCTTTCTTTTCTGATCGCTCTTTTCTCTCCTCAACCAGGTGTTTTTGAAGTTGAGCCTCCTCAAAGTCTTCCTTCTTCAATGCATAAATAGCCTTATGCCAATTTCTTCTGGATTCTCTTGGCTCTTGTTCATGAACAGGTCTAATCGTTTTTGGTGGACGAGTTAAGGTTTCTACTGAGTACAAGAGTTTCTTTTCCTTTGTTGATAAGTCTTGAATTTCAACCGATTGATTCACCTTTCCTTCAATCCAATGTTTCTTGTAACCATCCGCATCATAAATATATCCACTCAAGTAATTGTCTTTTCCATAGTCAAAATAAATGGAAGCATTGAAACCAGTTTTTGGACAATTAATCTTGAGATAGTCATAAATCTCAATGACAGTAGATCCCCACAACACATTGCTGACGCTAACAGGAGGGTGATTTACAATATATTCCTCGTTAAACTTTCGAGAGTAATTTTGAATTCACCGTCCATCAATGTGGTAACACTATTCCAAGAAAATGATGTAATTGGAAATACATATCCAGTATAGGTAAATTGACGCTTCTCATTGTGACAACAAAATGCAGATACTGGAGGGTGGTGAGAAACTTGTTCACCCAAGAATTTGGTAACGTCTCCTTCACCATGAGTCCATTCACATTTGAAAATCTCACCAAGAACAGGGTTGAATGGTTTACTTTGCTGCATACCATGACGAGGAATAGTTTACTAATTACCCAAGCCAAAATTGAAATAAATCTCTTCTCTGGAGATTGTTCTTCATTGATCTTCTCAATTGTATTATTCGGAGATGAGTAGTGAGAAATTTTCTCTAACAATGAGATTGGTTGAAGAATATATGCTGGAACACTTATTCTCCACAATTCTGTCTGTGGACTCAATTGTTTGAGAAATTCGTAAATAATATTGTATGAATCTTCTCGATCCTTGACTTTCAAATATTCGTCTTCTGGATCTTCCTTGTGGATATTTTCTTGTTCTTTGTATATTTCAATATCGGATTGATCTTGCAGAAACTTCTTTTCTGTTTCCGTAAGGTTTCCTTCGGAGGTTGGTACAGAGGACATGATGGCCGTTAATGATGATGTGGCAAGGAATAAATGAATCACACTGGATAATAGTCGTGGTGGTGGAAAATCAAACTTTGAACTGATTGTATTTTTTGTGGTGTTGAACGTTGCACGCACAATTTTTACTTTGTTGTACGAGATAACAAAATTGAATGGTGCACACAGGAAACTGAGGCGTTCGAAACATGATGATCATAATCCAATCTCCTTATTCTTCTGTTACCACACGCCTATTGACTAGTCAATCTCAATAGCGTCATCGATGGTAAAACCTGTAGATAATCGATTGGAATTCAAGGAAGAATTTGTTGACGTGTTGTTGTTGCTTGACAAACCATGGCTTGGTGGAGTGGAGGAAAAAGGAGGCGATGAGGCAACAGAGGAAGTACCAAATGACAGAAAAGGTGGAGACTTGCTTCCTTCTTCTTCATCTATTTCTGCAATAACTTGTGCTATATTGGCAATGGCAACATTTGATATTTTCTTCTTGGGAGCATCCTCACAAATGGTGAAGCTACCGTCGTCTTTGACAAGCACTTTTTCCACATTGTCTCCCACTTCATTGAGTATCTTTTGCATATGACGATCTATGATTAACTCTGAAAATGGAAGAGGTTTATCACATCTTGGACAATTGTACGTCTTTGAGGTCTTGCCAAAATCTAAATATCCAGCCAAATCAAAGCATGACTTGTGTACACAATATTTTCCTTTTGCCGGTATTTCAATTCTGCATAAGGAAAGTGGATCTTTGAGTGGTACAATTTCATCTCCTCCGCCAATCTCTTCTATGGCATCATCCATCTTGTCGATCGGTGTTTCATGCTGAATTGCTTTAAGAATGCTATTAATTGAGGATTTCTCGCTGTCTGTTAACGGAAGAGGTCGTTTCTTCTGGTTGTGGTATGGCTAAATTGTCTGATTTTGTGGGTGTAATTTGAATATATTTCAAAGAATTATCATTGGTTGGTGTCTCTAAA